GCTGTTACAGTGTCTAATTTAAATGTATTATCGTTTTGTAGAAAGTTAAATACAGTGCATAATATGGAGATCCCGTCATTTCTTTTTTTCACCATGTTTTTTTTTTAATATTATTTATGTACATCCTTGCTAAATCTTGCTAAGCATTCAAAAGAGATAATTTTGCACCTGTTATCTATATTTTAAAATAATTTTTTGTGTATGTTCCAGTATTCACAATTCTACACAATTTCAACAGTCTATAGCCAAGACTTTTTGGATAATAAAAAGCAAAAAAAAAAATTTCACTCCAAAGTGCCCACGAACCTGCATCTCTACCTTAAAGCGAGAAGGTTGTCACCTGCGCACGCGCGGGAATTGAGTCACAAGCGACGATAACAACACACGTTAAAACACAAAGGCTCATGGGTATACGCTTGGCCATCTGACGCATGCGCAGGTGACTACTCCCCCCCCCGCTTTAAATGTAAATAATGCTTGGTTGGTTATTTATATATGGGTATGCGACACACTTGAAATAAATTGACAAGAACAATCCAACCCTTATTTCATATATACTAGTTCAAAATCACGGTAAAATTGCCATATATCACGCATCATATCAACACAGCAAAATTATGACCCCTGTGATTCTTAAATAATCTTAGTACTTCCAAATTTAATTAGTTCCGTAAATAATGCAGTTAAACAGTTACCAGTACGGTATTCGCGTCAGAAACAATGCATGGATAAAAACCTTTCAATACTCATGATAAATAATATACAGAATGAATTACAATTTAAACGCACTGTTTCAGTGTACAAATACCTTTTTTTATGATTAATGAACACATGGGTAGTCTATAGATAGTTTTGTATCAGTATTTTACTGTTACTGGATTCAGTAGAAATACAATTCTAATATTTGAATGAACATACATTTTGGACTCGATTTTACCAGTATAATGCAAAAACATACAGCCATTGTATTTTGATGTAAACCGAGAAAATCCGGACGCTATTTTGAAAGTAATCTCCATTTCTGGATACATTTCATTGCATCATTACGATCCTGAAATGACCAGCTGATTTTCATCAAGTGTACCCATGTTTTTCGTGTCTTTGTAATGTTTTTTACTCCTCCGAGAGGTAAGCTATACAATGATGTGAAATCTTACTGGCAAGAAATAAAAAGTTCATTTAAAGTCTTCTAATGAGCACTCAATTCCGAATCAGAATCCAATCTTGGCGATACTGTTTGTGTACTGTGCCTGTGGGCTTCATCTGATCGACTTGAACAGCTCCCCTGGTCATAATTGTAGCCAGTGGTAGAAAGGTTTTGAAACAGTTACTGTCCGCTGAGTAAATGGGCAAAATATTAATAGACTACGGGTAACAATTGGTTATGTTCTAAAAGACTGTGTTATGTAGTGGGGCATCAAACTTGGCCATTACAAAACTCATCTACGTCATGTACATCTATATGACTATATATATGTCACATGACACATCGTTTCAGTGTTTGGTTTTTCAAATTCAACAAATTAATGTCTAGAATGTCGACAGTCCACGGGCCTAATGTAATTGTGTATTCCAGACATTCAAACGCCATAGGATGATGGAAAATGTGAGGGGCTTTAGTCATACCATGCTTCCTGTCCCAGCGTTCGGAATTTATTCACGCCTATTACGTTTATACACAATATTTATTAATAAAAAAATTAATATTAGGTACGACAGGATGTTGACCATGAAATGTACTTTTTCATTTTTACTCAGTCACTTGTGGTGATTTTATGACTAATGCGTTTTGGTGTGATTTTCAAATCACAATTTTGGGATAAAGACATAAAACTAATGTTAACCACTTTTCTTAGAATTCTACATGTAACGCGCTTTCCCTATATGTATTTGTTTAAAAATCATTTTGATCAAATATAGAAAGATACATTAAAATGTGCAAAACGTGACACCAAAAATGGGCGGGAAACAATATAGTGCTCAAAAGGTTTGAGTTTTGTTCACATTTTAAAAAGGTGTTAACTTCTATGGGAGGTGAGAGAATTAAAGTCTAACTAAGATCATGTTTTAACCTAAGAAGCAAATTGTTTTTTTTTGTAGTGATGGCCAATGATAAATTCTGTGAACTGTTTAATTTTACAAAATTTTGTTTTCATGAATGACATAGAATCATTAAATAGCATAACACTTTCAAAAAGCAAGGCGTGTTACCACAATTGCAAATTACTAGAAATAGTCTGATTGATGAATATAGGTAGGTACATATCAGCCAACCCAATTGTCTTTTGATTTGAATGATTTCCAATGAAGTCATCGTCAAAGTCCCTTTTAGATTATACACACGAGATGTTGTATGCCTACAATTATATCAAACAAAATTCATGAGATAAGGCCCCACGAAACTGCAATCATTTAAATAAGACGGTCGCCAGTCAGCCATTTGGAATTTACTGGGTATAGTAGTAACTAAAAGAACGTGATTTGTCCAATGTGTGAACATGATTGCTTCAGACTTGTAGAATTGCATTTTTTTAAATGGCCACCAGTCGACTGTTTTGAATTCATTCTGAAGTGCATCATGGCCTCATTATGTTCAATGTATGTATCAAGTTTGACACCTGAATGTTGTCAAAGTTCTTTTTGTCCTTATGGCACTGAACAACATTGTATTCATTTTCATGGGAAAACAGGCACAAATGGGCGAAGACACTTCACTGGGAATTGTTATCAATGTGCTCTAGTTCTTGCTAGGACAGCTGAGACATGAACCACTTCTTATGCCGGATATTAAATTTGTATTGGGGCTGCTGCAACACGTCTTATTCCCGACCATCTTATCAAACATTTCTGAAGATTGTCCAGCGATTTCTATTGTATCATTAATGCTGATTGTGGCTGTGCCCTCATGTCTATCATGAATACCCTCTTGAAGACCATATACACAGGCACATTTTTAAGATGTTCTCTTAAAAACCTTTACTTAGCAGCTTGAAAGACAGTCGTTTCTCAAAGTCATCATGTACAGTGCAAGCTGTAGAATATATAACAAGCTGGGAAATGTATATGTTATATGCAGGAGGAGAAATTACTACAAAACATTGATGATGGTAAAATCATAGTCATTCCTTATGTGAAACAGTCTAGCAATTATACGAAACAAAAGAGCTTGATCCTGTAGTTTCTTAGATTTCAAGTTCAGGTGGACATAATATAGGAAAAACAATTATTTATAAGAGAATTGTGGATTGAACATACATCACCAATCATTATAAGTCAACTGAAATCATCTTCATACCATTTTGATGGTGTATTGTGAGTGGAGTCATAGGGTTTGACCTTTGGGTCACCCGCCACTATTAAACAGGAATTGCAGTGACGGCATCACCTTCTGTAAAACAGTGACTGTCAATACTTCCGTTTCGGAAGTAAAACTATCGTTTTATATATACGATATATATTAATGTAATGTAGTTAAGTATCTTGCTTTATAAACAAATACGTATACATCGTTATCCTTGAATACCATCTGTGATACGTCACATGTCAATGAACTACCCACACTTCCTATGTAATCAATATCTGTACTTTTAAGTAATAAAGGTACTTCCAATTTAGTACCGGTAGTCAACTGAACACCGTGTCTCGTTTATTCCTTACTGTTACCATACAAACATTACACTTACCGCATTTTTAACGAGTACTGTGTCACCCAAACATTACAATTATTTTCAGAAAATAGCATTGTGAACCATAACATGTGCCTTGGAGTGGGTTATGCGTAGAAACTAAATAATGGGTACGAGAGGCACTCAAAGTATCTAAATTATGCTAAGATATTTAACATTTATGTCACTTCAAAGAATTTGTATTTTTGCGGTTTTGAAATAATGTGCAATATGTGGCAATGCTCGGTCCATTTTACCAAAACTTTTTAAAACTTCTGTATATGTAACAAGACTTTTTTATGTGAATGTTGGTTTTTCTTAAAAAAATGTTTCAACGGGTAGGTTTCTCGAGAAATTTTGTCTCGTGCACCAAAACTTTGCATTTTTCAGACAGTATAGACATTATACAAGTGATGCCCCTGGGATTGTATGCTTGTAATTGACTAGAATACAACTAGACATTGGTTTATCATAAACCTCAGTGGATACAGTGTATATATTCGCTCAACATCTTTGATATCTTATACTGAAGCACCATCTTGAATTCCACGGCATTGTCACAGAGGGTGATATTTGCATTTTGTCAAGGACTGCCACTCAAACACCCAATTTAGCCATAGCAGAATCCATACAGGTGTTTTGATTCATAGCCCACAACCACATTAAACGATTTTTAGATGTTTTCCCAGGGCTATAACAGCACCAGAAATCACTTTTTTAGTTTGTTGAGAATCTTTGCTTTTCACCAATTGATTTGAAAATTAGGACAATTTAAACTTGAAAGTTAAGTCGGCTTTGCAGAAGAATGTCATCTGGAGCTGATCGCATCCATGTAAGCGTAAATCTTGACTGATTATTAACCAATCACTACAATTATTTGAATGATGTATATTAATGTATTTAAAGAGGTAGTAGTCATGGTATTAATAAGTACCAGTACATCTTTATATCAAACAAAAGCATAGAGTACATCGTTCGTCTCCAGATGTCTGCCAAACCCAAACACCGACATATACATGCAGTACCAGCATTGTGTAATTTTATTAATGTGTTCCAAATCCCACATTTCATTCTGCACAAAGTGGAAAAATAACATTAATATGAATACACCAAATGCTTGACAATATGTACTACAGTCAGCTGTAATACAAGCGGCAATAAAATCAGGAATTCCAGCAACTAAGTATGCACTGAAATACTAGTTTTTTATTCTCAAATAGCTTCCAAGATCTTGAGACCAAGAGAGGCATGCAACTTGTTTTCCTTCAAAATATTTTCCATTCTCTCATCTACCTATTTCCAATATAGTTTGTTGGAAACCAGACGTCAACATGTACTGTATCATGTACGACTAATGTCTTGTGAAAAAATACATTTCTAAATGGGGTTGTATCCAGCAGTGTTATCCTTCAGCGAGCTAATTTGCACATGAGTGGTGTTCTTGGATAATTTCATCATAGATTCGATTATCAAATACCAAAGCATAGGGCAAACTTTGCTTAAAATTCTAGAATAGGTCAATATCCTGTGTATTGTGTACATGTACACAAAATATCCACACTAATGTCCAGGGATATGTCCATCAAACCTGTCCGGACGTGTTCATACGTGTCGAGTCAGAGTGTCATGCATTCATAATTCCGATAAACTTATTTTGTTTACACTCGTAAATGATGCATGGGACCTATATTAAACATAGTGTGTCATTGTAAGGCGATTGTTGTACTTAATTATCTTCTCTTGCATCGTTTATTTTGCTCACAGCCATTCAGACAAAACTGTTTTCAATGTGTAATTGTATACAAATTTTTTCACATAAAGAAATAACAAACACTTCTATACATCAACTTTTTAAAACAAGTATGCATAAATTGACAAAGATTGATGTCAAAGTTTTAAAAGAAAGTATGGTGATATTATACATGTCTAGTTGTGAGCGGTGGCAGAATAATTATTGTACCACAAACTCTAAAATATGACCTTCATACTAGGGTCATTCAAAACTAAAAACAAAACATGAGCATATTAGCTCGTTAGTACATTTTCTTTGCAGTAACTGTGTCAAGGTCGCGATGATGGTTACCAGGTGTCATGGCTATAAATATCTCTATATAGGCATGGGAAGAGCTTGTATTTCCTGAAAGCAGTCAGTAAAATTGTCCTTGTATTCATCTGCTACTTTTACAAGTACACAAGCTGTTGGTCTTTTAGCTCCAGTAGCCACACCAAGATCCTAAGGAGATGAAATAAATATGCACATTGTTAGTGTTTCCTGGAATGTTATAAACCTAACATTTAACATAGTTTGCTACCATTAAAAAAAATATTCAGAAATTCTCGATACTGTACTGTTCAAAATTCTGAAACAATATTTGGTCCGCAAACCAAGTTTTCTACAAAACGAACTTAAAAATTGACCAAAACAGGTTTCTATGGCAGAAACATTCCAACATAACTCAAAATTTTGTTCTGTGATCTGTGCTAAAAAAAATAATTAATGTTATTAAAGCTATTTAAATATACATGTATTTATATTTACATATTAGTATACGCCATCCATGGAATAATGTATTTACATGGAATCCTATGGAAAATGTTTTTAGATTATTTTGCATGTTTTTCTTGTAAACATATGAATGTTAAATATGAATTACAGATATGTGAATTCACATCAATTTTTGATTTATGATTTATTTTGATCATTTTTTTTTTATGTTTTAATGGTGAAGTAACTCAATAAATACTTTGTTCTGTAATTTACAGTATGCTGTGAGAGTTTGTACTAAAACCATTATTCGTATGTACATTGCAAATCTTTCATAATGATTCTAAAGTCAATACCAACATACCAGTAGATAGTATAATTGCAAGCTTCTTTTAGCTACACAACACATGTGCTAGGACTTATTGATATTTATAAATATTTATGAAATTTGAAACGACTTCCTGTGTTGACCAGTCACAGAGATGCTAGGCAGTGCATAGTGGTTCAAACAAGTAGGGATTCATGTTAATAAAATGGTGCACTGTTCTGTCAGTTAAAAATAATTTGAGCACCTATTTTATTGTAGTGTTCCTGTTAATGTGAAATTATATACATACCAAAAACAGAATATTTTGGGGGTCAATGACTTTCTGGACACTCATCTGGACACTCACTTAAGTACAAAAAATCGCACATAATTGTTACCAGTATTTTGTACAACACAAGGCTAACAGTCACACAACTAAAATTGGTATAAATGAGCCTACCTGTTTTGATGGGACATACGCATATGGAATATCATTGTCTTCGCACATTACAGGTATATGACAATACACATCTATGGGTGTTACGTCACCGGCAAGTACAATAAAACTGAAAATATAAATATATTTTATCAATTACATGTACATACAGCTGTATAAATTAGTGTAGACCATGCTTTCCTCAAAGAATGTATCCACCTACAAATGACACTAGGTGACACCAACACTTTTAAAGAATGTTAGTAGTAGAAAAGTACACCAGTTTTTTTAGGGATCATGAAGCGTCCAGCCGTCCAAGGAAGACTTCTCCAAAACAACTGGATCTTTAGTTTTGATTTTTGGTATGAAGATTCCTTTTTAGTTGAAGATGGTAATTTGTTGGAATCGATTGGATCCATCAATAAATATTAAAATTGAGTCAAAAAAAGCTGAAAATTTAAATTTTCGTCAATTTCTCAAAAAATGTCAGTCTGATTGATTTGCTATTTAGCATGTAGGTACATTTTTTTGTACCTTGACTGGTCTTCTATCTGGCCTGTTGATGTGGTAGCATTATCTTCAAATTTGTATTTTAAGTGAATTTTTTCATGATTTTTTTTTTTTTTTTTTATTTCTAGCCAAAAGTGTAATATTTTGACTTTCTCCTCAAAACCGTCAGTCAAATTGATTTTATATTTAGTATGTAGGGATCTGGAGCAGACCTCTCAAGGTTGTTCATTTCGTAATGATATTTTCAAAATTTTTGCAATTTATGAATTTTTTTTCTGATTTTTTTTTTCATTTTCTCCAAAGGTTGTGCATGGGAATTGCAGAATGCATAGCTCTAATTGTAAGCTGTGACCATCAGCTTTGATTTTTGGTGTGAAGGTACCCTGTGGGGTAGAGATTGAAATTTCTTTATGAGATTAGAATTTTTTCATAGATCAGTCTATTATTTTGTAAATTGGGTCAAAAAAGGTGGAAATAACAGTTTTTGTCAATTTCTCGAAAACCAGCCGTCTGATTGACTTCATATTTAGCATATAAATATGTAAGGTTAGTCCTTTTTGTAGCCTGTTGATGTGGTAGCATTATCTTCAATTTTCTATTTTTAGTGATTTTCTTTTTTAATTTTTTTCTGTCCAAATCACAATTGTTGAGGAATTGCTCTCCAATCATCACACAGATTGCTTTCATGTCAACCATAAAGTTACCTGATGTAACCCTCTTGATGATTCTGTCATATGGTAGAGTTATCTTTAATTTTTACTGTTTTTTTTAAAAGGCTATTTTTTGGCAGAAATGCTATTTTCAAAAAAAATGTTCAAACTGCTAGATTGTTAGTTTTTATTTCCAGTGTGACGATTCCTTATTGTTTGTTTAAGAGGTGTAGATTGACTAACAAATCTGAAAATTGGGTCAGAAATACCAAAACATCTCAATTTTTGTAATTTTATGTCGGATTGATTTCATATTTAAGCATGCACGTACATTGGCTAATACTGTGTCTTGTTGATGTTGTGGTTTTATTTTCAATTTTTTGTTGTTAGTGATTTATTTTGTTCTAAAAACAAAACTTTTGAACTTTATATATGGCAGGTTGATATTTGGGCCGATTCTTTCTGTCACAGGAACACAAAAAGAACAAGGAGTACACATTCATACAGTGATCACCCACATACAGCATTGCCTAACTATACATTGCATGCTTAAAGCAATACAAATTTGTTGTGAAATTTTCTAATTTCAGCTATAAAACTTAACACATACAGATTCATCTTGGCTTTGACACACTTGAGCAAGTATTGTATATTGTACTTCTAATTCATTGCTTGGCTAATGTTATAATTCTCAATGAGGGTCAGGCCAACGGGCCTATTTTTTTTTAGTTTTGGACAAACAGGTCGCAAGAAAAGGAAAAGAATGACTATATCATATAGTAAGTGTATGGGTACAACTAGCAGAAACTTAACCAAATTCCATGCACTATATGGAATAATTTTAACTTGAAATTGTAAATCGAAAATTTTGCACTTCTGTCTTCTGTAATGAGTAATTAAAAATTTTCTTTTTATGGCGAAACTATTACAAACTTCTTTCCACACCAATACAATAATTAATGACTTACCCCTTCTCTCCTTTTTTGATAAACTTCTGAACTTCTTTGACTCCTCTTCTAACATTTTTCTGTTTACTTGCTGCAAATAAAAATGAAAATAGAGTCTAGAAATTGTATTTAATAAATCAGAGTTTTTAACAGGAGACATAGAGGCCATAAGGGATTATATCACCACCCAATTGTAGTTGAAAATGGTAGATTTTAAGCAGTTACCCAGTTGAAACATTGCATGTCATTTCTTAACTTGTCTATTTACATCAATTCATGGGTGGGTGTAATGATCATGTACACAGGCTCAGTTCAGTGTTAAGTATTCACATTTGGTTGTATACAGAACTAACCTCATGGCTGTTTTGGGTTGATATTTACATGGAAAATGACAGGAGCTTAGCAGAGCAATTGAAGTTTGCCAAAACATAATAGCAAACATTCATTTTTATGAGATTCCACATCTTTCTACGATAAATAAATTTTTTCAATGACGTTCAGTGATTTATACATTTATGCATGTTTATAAAATAATGTGTGTTTTATCATCTGCAATTGCCAACAAAGCATGGCAGCTATGATGGATCATGTGCGACTTGTTGAGCAACTTTGTATGACATGTTCAGAGTGAGAGAATTTTAAAACAGAAAGCGATGTTCACAGGGCTGTATGTGGGGTGCCAACATGGTCTAACTCTTCTCGCCAGAATTTTTCCGCACTTTTTTCTTGTATTCTTCAAAATGTCTGGAAATGAACCGGAATTTTGGATATAACAGACATGTAATACTTCCTCCACACTCAGTTTAGCTTTTGAAAATTGCAAATCACCAGTTTTTAGAGAGAAATCAGTTTTTTTGTCGAAACAAATCACATTTTAACATCAATTCACTTCCTCATTGCATTAAAAAAATTACATTGTCAATAATCAGAAAATACGACACAGCATTATGATAGCTACCGGTAATGATAAAAAATGTGCCTTAGACAGTTTTCCCACAGACCCTACTCATTTTTACACCATAAACCAACCGAAGGTATGTAAATAGTATTGTAATGAAATGTACATATTTATATGAACATGTTGTGTTGTGGAAATCAATGACGACTTGTTCCGCAATTTTTCTTCTTCAAAAGACGGTACTATACCCAGCATGATGGTTAAAACGTTAAAAAAAAAAATCATCTTTTCTGAGGTGGTCCTTGGGTACAAGCCAACCATTTACTTTCCCTGATTTTACATGCTGCCTAGGCTTATGATCGGGGAAGTATGGTACATAGAAAAGTTCTATTAACGTTATTATGTCAATTGAGTGTTTTAATTAGGATATTATTAATTGTTGGTGTTTAATATCAACACACATGTTTTAATCATTTTTTCACTTTTTAATTATGCGACAGTCATTAATTATCACAATAGTGACGTGTGTGTGTGTGTGTGTGTGTGTGTAATTTTTTGAAAAAATAAATGCTTTCTAAAGTGCTTCAAATTAAAGTTTTCATGAAAAATGTTTAAATTACTCTTACAAATAATGTTCATTTGAAACTAAAGTAATCCCAAGTATTTGATAAATTTAGCATTCTGTGGTGGGACTCAACCCACCATCGGCATCACTCTCCACCAATAACTGTATTTGAAACCACTTTCCAGTTGTGCCCATATGAGAGTACATACAATTACAGCCGTTCTGAGAATTATTCGGACAGTCAGTTAGCAATATATCTTGGAACTTTGCAAAACACTTGGGTCTTTTCCAAACTAGACTTGATGGCACCGTTGTATTGGCACGCCCACAAATGGAATCATTCCAATATCTTGCAAGATGCGGGTAAAACTCTGTTTTCAAAACGACACGTTGGTTACCATGTATTAACATGTTATATATGCATTCAAAGTGTTATTACAAATTGTTATAACCATCTGAGTCAGTGCGCCTGACAAAGCGCAATTTAAAAAACAACTACCGAGTGTTGAGTAATGAACTCGTCGTTGGCGGCAAGGCTCAAAGTAAAGTTTCTTAGCGGGACGCGCTGCAGTATCGCGACAGTTTTGGGTCAAACTAAAAGTTGTTTTTACATTACTGGTGCATTATGTTTCAAATTCAGATTTTATACCGAGGTGGGAGAGTACGTCAGGGATACACTGACGGAAAACTCAATTATAACGGTTTGATGGACGTTGTCAAATCAAAAGTGCCTTCCTTGAGCAAATCACTTTTTCAACTGCAATTTGAAAATGACGGGGTATAACGACCGTTATTATGTTTAGTCCATTTTTGTAACAGGTACAACTGACTAAAATGAGCGAGGGGTTTACATTTTTCGACAGATTTAAGCAACACCCAACTTGTGATTTTCAAAATTACTGAAAATAATTACAATATAATTGTAAAAAATAAAGAATGCTGTAAACGCACGCTAAATAATACTGCAAGTATTACCAAGTAAGTACCAAGCCGACAACCCC